GAGGGACTTTTCCAGGACTCTTGTCAATATTACCAGTTCATAAGACCCGAAGTTCACATCCTGACTTTCTCATTTACTTGGGCTTTGTAGCTTACTCTTGCTTATCCTTGGTTTTCTTATCTGTAAAGTGAGAATGGTGCCAGAACTACACCATCTCAGGACTGGGAGAGGATTCAACAAGAGTGCCAGTGATGAGCTCAACAGAGCCCTAGGCACTTGCTAAGTATTTGATAAATTAGGCACCAATCATTTTTTAAAATTTTATAGTTTTGCATTTTATTTGTAACTCATGCTTGTATTTATGGTGTTTTCTACATTCTTTTTTTTAAAAAAGATTTGTTTTTATTTATTTATGGATACAAGAACAGGGGTATAGGCCAGAGGTATGGGGGTGAGAGGATTCACCAGAGACAGGGTGGGAGCAGAACAGGAGGATCTACCAAAATACACTGCTGAGGGGAGCAGCGGGTGAGACAGGAGAGGTTTGCTACGCCATGTGGGTCAGTTCCCTGCCTGGGTGATTGAACTCATGCCTTAGTGGTTGGCGATAGCTTGATAGTGCTGAGACTTTAGCCCCTGCACCACCTGGGAGGCCCTGGTGTTTTCTACATTCTAATGGCAGTTCGTACCACTCTTTTTGTGAGGCCCAGATGAGGAGACCATGCCCCCAGAGATTCTCACAACCACAATAGGTGTGGCACTGGGCACAGGTGCTGCTCCCCCCCAGGGGACATCTTAAAATGCTCACCCATCATGGCCCATGGGGGTACTCTGGTGAGCCAGGTCTGGGGAGTTAGCCTTGTCTGATTTCCTCACCCACCCAAATTGTAGCCAGACAGGGAAAAGGAGTGGGGAACAGCCAGTGGGGAACTTGGAGGGAGGCTAAGAAACACCCCCACCCTCCTCTCTCACCCCTCACTCTCCCCTCTGGGTTCATCCAGGCCCAGGGACAGGTGCTTTCCTGGTGACAAGCAGGGCTTCCTAGCTCCTTGACAAAGTGATATCCTTTCCTGCCTCAGGTCCCTGTGGGAGGCCCCAGGCCCAGATCTTTGTCCCTTGTCCTCATTTAGCCAGACCTTGCCAGTGAGTACACACACACACACACACACACACACACACAGAGATACACACAGAGACACACACTCAGAAACACACACAGACATAGACACACATACACACACCCGTGTATGAAAAGATGTGGAGGGAGTGGGAGGAGGGAGGAGGAAGGGACATGTGACAAAGAGCAGAGTATAATTTCCTAGTTAGATACAAAGCTAATGTCCATAAGAAAATAAAATTGCAAACGTTTAATTTCTCTACCTAACAGAAACTGTTTACTTCTCCCAACAAAATCATTTGCATCTTACCAGTTTTCTACAAATTAGCATCTACCTTTGCAGAATCTGGGCCCGATCAGTAAATATGAGTCAGTTACTTTCCCCTAGAGAATCGGCTCACCCGTAGGTGGTCGTGTTAGCACCAAACTCTCGAGCAGCGTCTAGTACAAAGATAATGCAAACCACAGGTGGAAGTTTTTTAAATTTTACTTTTTTAATTTTCTAGTAGCTTCCTATTAAAGAACAAAAAGAAACTGGTGAAATTAATTGTGACAGTGTATTTTATTTAACCTAAGATCTCTGAACTATCGTCTCAGCATGTACGCAATACAGAATTTTACTGAGCTATTTTTACTATTTTTACTGAGCTATTTTCTTTTTCAAACTAAGTCTGAAATACGATGAGTGTTTAACACTTACAGCACCTTTCAAATCAGACCAGCCCCGCTCAGCAGGGCTGCCCTGCCGCTGTGAGAGAGCAGCTGCAAAGCCAAAGCCGCGTTCCTCAAACCAGAGGTGCCTCGAGGTGCCTCTGTCACCTGCAGGGCTCGTGAGGCACAGATGCTGCACCCCCCCCCCCAAGAGATTCTGACTGCAGGTCTGGACACGGCCTGAGATTCTGCATTTCCAGCAAGCTCACAGGTGCTGCTGAAGCCGCTCATCTGGAAGCCTCTTTGGAAACCACTGTCTTAGGATGACTTCCATGAGACCCACGTCACCTTTTTGCCATGCTCCTAAATTGTGGGTCATTTTTCTTACAGCCTGAGGCTGACCCCGGAGGAGGGGCAGCAGGAACAACAGGCTCTGCATGTCTGCACTTGCTCTGCCTCCTGGTGAGGGTGCAGCACCAGCTAGGAGCAGCCTGGCAGTGGACTCTCACCAGGTGGCAGTGGGTGAGAGTTCAGCAGCACTCCTGTGGTTGGCATGGACCCTGTGCAGCTAAGCCAGAGGCTCAGGGAGAAGGGGAAGGGGGCTGACCCTCAACACCTGCCAGAGGGCCCAGGCCTCCGCGGCTGCGCTTACTCTAGGCCACTCGGCAGGTAACAGCAATCAGGTAACTGAGCTTCCCAGGGTGGGTCTGCATAGATGGAGGGTTCAGCCAGGCCCTTTGCTCTCAGGAAGGGGGGCTCCCCAAAGCCTAGAGTGGCCAGAAAAGACTGGCTGGACTGGGAGTGGAAGTTGGCATGAGCCCAAAGGACAAAGGCCACCTGCACTGGAAAGAAAAAGTGGGGAGAGTCACCGCACGAGGGCTGTAGGAGGAACAGGAGCTTCCCCAGGAAAGCTAGGACCGCGCAAGTGATGGCAGCCCCAAAGTCTTGGGCGATCAGAAATAAAGTCCCCAGACAGGACTGGAAGGTGCCCCAGCAGCCATCAGTCTCTACTCTCCTGGTTCATGGGGGGACCGTTCTCCTGCATCCAGGGGTGCAAAGAATTTGCCCCTTCCTCTTCATCCTGTAGGTTTGGGGGAGGAACAGGCATGTGCAGGAGGTGAAGGAAGTGTGTCCCCTGGGGGCACGACTATGCTTGTAATATCCAAGGGTTAATCCCCGTCAGGGGGACTGAGTCCTGGTCCATGTTTCCCTCCTGCAGGCACCGTGTACATGGCTGAGCACATGAATGTGGAATTGAAGTGACCTGTTGTGGGCCATGTGTAACTAGGGTGGGACATGTATGATGTGACTGCTGTGCACATAGGGGTGTCCACACCAAGGGGCGTCTTACAGGGGTGCAGGAAGTCATTGTTGTGGCATATAATGTGAGATAAATGGAGTATCTATACCATTTGAATATGCTATTTAGGAGCATTTGAGGTGTCTGCACCTTGGGGTGACCTGTAGGGTACACAGGGCATCTACATTGTGGTGACTGCTATTTGGGGGCACATAAGTTGTCAGCACTGTGGGGTATCCTGTGGGCGTGTACAGCGTGTCTGCATAGAGGTGTGTACTCACAGGGGGTGCAGATACATGGAGGTGTACAGATCTATGCTATATGAAAGTATTTTGGGGGGTGTCTACCATAGGTAAAAATTCATACTCTCTCTATGGAAAAGGAGCTAAAGGGGTGTCCCAGAGGGGTACCCACTGGGTGGAGGAATTTGACAGGAGCTGAGGGGTCAGAGGCAGGGCTGGGGGGAGGACCATCTCTAGGAAAGCATCACTGCCAGCTCCCAAGCACCAGACACCTCTGATCCATGGGCTTGTCCGTCCCTCCCAGCACTGTGTGAGGATGAGGCTTTCAGGATCTATAATAAGTCTTCCTCTGAATGTGAACTTCATGCTTGGAGGCCACTCGGATGAGTGACATAGATGTCCAAATGGAGGGTTCCAACGGGGGGGATAGTGACCCGAGAAGCTCCTAGGGTGGCCCAGGAGGCTCTCCTCATGCCGTGACCCCCACAGGCTCTAGCCCCACACACAGCAACTTGTAAAGGGTATTGCCCCACATGCTCACAGAGTCTTGCTAAGACTGATAGTGATATTCTTCTGTTTGCTGAGAGTACAACAGTCAGGTTGCCTCACTGGCACACAGTAGGGACTAAGCCCCACCACCCCAGTCTGGAAGGACTGGAGGGCCAAGTGCTCATGTGTTTGTCTAAAGCATAGCCTCATCACTGCACATACTGTGCTTTTTTCCATTACGATGTGTGAGAAGGAAGGCATTCGCTGTGCACCCGCTTGGCATGTCTGCGGTGCACATGATGGGGACAGGCGCTGCGGGATTAGTCTTTTGCTGTGTTGAATGAATATACAGTATGTCTGAGGGAGGCCTGTTGGAGGGAATGTGCTGGGGCAGAGAGGCTGCCATGTTGAGCGGGATCTGCTGTGATGGAAGGGAGTTTGTTGTAGGGAAGATTCTGCTGTGGAGGAAGGGAGGACCTGCTATGCGGGTGACTGTGCAGGATTAGCAATGAGTGGATTTGGGGTAATCATACACAACATAAAGTGTATCCGTGTGCCAACTCTCTGTGTTCCGTGTTCTTTCTGTGCATACACTATGTAGAATGAGCATACATTGCACAGGATGGTAGAGTGTGATTAGTATACCACATGTGAGGAATGCAGCTTGCATGTGGAGTGTATCATCTGTGAAGATTATACAGCATGTGTGGTGACTATATTTTGTGAGTAAAAGGTATAAGGAATATACAGTTTGTATAAAGGATATCCTGTTTGTATTGAGTATACGTTGTATGGATGCACTCTGTGATGGGTGTGTACTATATGTAGGGGTGTAGACAAATATATGGAATATTTACAGATAAGTGTGAGTCCATGCTCCATTTAGAGTATACCTAGTGTCTGTGATGAGTATAATTTATGAGTAACTGCAAATAGGATGTATCTAATGGATATACTCTAAGACGAATATCCTTTGTTATGGGTATGAGGAGTATAGACTTTGTGGGACAGGTAAGTATGGGGTGATCTGCACAGGTGGGGGGATTCCGTGTAGTGACCAGTTGGTGAGGTCTACTTGATTCTTATCGGGCACCTTGAGTGTAGGCAGCTTGTGGTGGGAATACAGGGTCTGTGCCTGTGTGTGAGCCAGCGGAGGTGGGCGTCACCCTGCAGAGGAGGCGTGGCAGGAAGCAGCTGGATCTTCATCTGTTTCCAGAACCCCCAGCCTCTTGAGCCCACTGCCCATGCTGTGCTGTTTCAGGTTCTTCCTCAAGTTCTTCCTCAAATGCAACCAGAATTGCCTAAAGAATGCTGGGAATCCCCGAGACATGCGCCGCTTCCAGGTGGGTCTGGGAAGAGGGTTTCCCCCTTGTAAACCAGCCCTTGCCTGATAGTGGGTGACAGGGGAGGCTGTGGCACCGCTACCCTGGGAGAGGCCCCCCAGGGCAAATCTCTGCCCAGCCTTGCTCCAGGGCCTGGTGCCAGCTGGGGGTGGGGCAGCTTGGGTCTTAACTTATGCTGGCTGCCAAGGGAGGCTTCATTAGAGTCCCACTTAAGGAGATGCTAATTGTGACATTTTTACATGATTAACGACCCAGCTAATTTGCATAGCCTGAAGCAGAGAGCAGCTGCCCTTAGCACATCCCCAACCTGCACACCTCTCCCAGTCAAGGGGGCTCCCCCTGATGGGTTCTCAGGCTGACGCTGCCCCCCTCCCGTCAACACTGTCACTCCCACTTGCTAAGAGCCACAGAGCTACAGCCTGGGGTGTGTGTTCGCAGAAACTGTAGCCACTCTTTGCCCAAGTAACCAGAGTTTTGGGGGGACTTTTTATTTTTTTTTAGCTCCTAGAGGTCAATTCCTAGAGATTGTGCCTCTAGGGGGTATCACAGAACCCAGCTGCCCTCCTTCCACTAGCTCAGTCCCTGCGGGGCTGAAGCCCTTCCCGTGGCCGTGCCTCTGACCCTGAATTTCAGCAAGCAGCCAGGACCTCAAGTTTCAGGTTCCCCATACCATTCCCCTTCCGGGAGCCCCTGGGTCTCAGGCAGGCTGTCGTGGCTCTCCCTGCAGGTGGTGGTGTCCACAACGGTGAGCGTGGACGGACACGTGCTGGCCGTGTCCGACAACATGTTTGTGCACAACAACTCCAAGCATGGCCGCAGGGCGCGCCGCCTGGACCCCTCAGAAGGTCAGGACCACCAGCCCAGCCCCAGCTGCCTGGGCCCAGCCAGTCACTCCCCACACCCCCACCTTGGCGGGGTCCTGACATGGTTCCTCTCCGGCCTCCCTTCCCAGCTGCCACCCCCTGCATCAAGGCCATCAGTCCCGGGGAGGGCTGGACCACGGGCGGCGCCACCGTCATTGTCATCGGAGACAACTTCTTCGACGGGTTGCAGGTCGTGTTCGGGAACGTACTCGTGTGGAGCGAGGTGGGCCACCCCCGCCAGTCTCCCTCTGGGCCTAGTGGCAGGCCCTCGGATCCCCGGGTCGAACCCGCAGGCCTCCCCTCTCCCCTCGCAGCTCATCACGCCCCATGCCATCCGGGTGCAGACGCCCCCGAGGCACATCCCTGGGGTGGTGGAGGTGACCCTCTCCTACAAGTCCAAGCAATTTTGCAAAGGAGCCCCCGGCCGCTTTGTCTACACAGGTAAGGAGGCGGGTGGGGGAGGGGAGGCCTCAGGTTGACAGAGGGAGCCCCGCCCTGTGCAGGGCTACTACCTAGTCTCAGGGTTAGCAGATATTTACCCTGCAGGCCAGGCTGCCCAAGCGGCTGCTCCCCTCATCCCACCTACACCCCAGGACCTTCCTCTTCAGTACCTATTTCCTTGCGCTTCTCTGTTCTATTCCCTGGCCTCTGGCTCTTTAGTCCCCTGCCATGACTGGATCCTCACCAGCCTGGACATTCTCTTGGCCTCCAGCCTTATCCAAGTCTTCTCTTTCCCCATCCCCAACCCCTCACACACTCCCCTGGATCTAGAAACTCTCCATGGGGATGGTTATTTCAAAGGTGTCCCCCAAACAGGCTCTTTGCTTCCCAAATTCTCCCTAGATCTCTTGGTTCCCCCAGGTCACCCCAGGCCTCACTATGCATGCACACAAAAAACACCCCATGCAGGAAGCCAAGGCATGGAGCTAACATAAGAGGTGAATGAAAGTCACTCATTGAGTATGATGCATAGGAACCCCACCACCACCACCACCACACACACACACACACACACACACACACACTGTATTTGACTGCTGGCCAGGATCCTCTCCACCAGCATCCCCTGGCCCTGCCTCAGCCCTAGTCACCCACATCTCCCTCTTCCCCTCAGCCGTCCTGTCAGGTATTTCTCCAAACCCTTGGAGGGGGAAAGAGGATGGAGAGGGGGAGCAGTGAATGCTGTATGTGTGGGGTTGGGGGCCAATGGAGCCTCACTGTGGCTGCCCAGGAAAACTTCCTGGAAGGAATGTGGATTAGACTGGGCTACGCTGGGAAGGCAGGGGTTAACAGGGAGAAGTAGTTCAGAGAGAAGGCAAGGCAATTGCAAAGACCCATAATGGGTGGTTTTTGCTTTGGGGAACACTAAAGAAAATTCACTAAACCTGAAGTTGGAGGTGGAGAGGTCAGGTAGGGATTTGAAGCTGGTGATTACATCCAGGCCAGGCTGCCAGAGGGAGTGGAAGAAGAAAGAGAGAAGGATGTCTTGAAACCTGGTCGGGAGGCTGCTGCATCCTCCCGAGAGCCTGGGGTGCCTGCCAGTTCCTTCCTGGGGACACGCAGACCTCTCAGGGTCAGGTGCCGCTGAGTCCACCTGGCTGTGATAAGCGGAGTGATGGGTTTCTCTTTTGTAATGCATATGTTCCTAGTAAGACCAAATGCAGAAACTTCCTCCACTCCTGCCCCTGGGAATCTAGAAGCGAATATGGACATACAGTTTCCTTTTCAAAATCCCAGAAATGATTTCTAGTGCTTGTGTGTCAATGGCAAGGGCCTGGCTCAGAAATATTTCTTGAATGAATGGGCTAAAGGGAATTGAAATTTCCCAGACCCTTGCTGTCCCGGAGAGATTTGGGCTGGACTGATGAAGGGGCTCCGGGAGAGGCTCCAGGACGGGTGGCTGGCCGGCTAGGTCCTGCACCTGGCTGGGAGGGGGCGCCCTCCAAACGACACCCCTCTTCCCAGCCCTGAATGAGCCCACTATTGACTACGGATTCCAGAGACTACAGAAAGTCATTCCCAGACACCCCGGAGATCCCGAGAGGCTACCCAAGGTACTCAGAGGGGCGCAGCGGGGCGGGGGCGAGGGTTCCCTATGGCCTCGGGGCCTGAGGAGGGGGCTCCGGGTCCCTGCGCCGCCCCCAGGGGCTGCCCTCGGGTCCGCGCTGTCTCCTCCCCCGCCCGCAGGAGGTGCTGTTGAAGCGGGCGGCCGACTTGGCGGAGGCTCTGTACGGAGTGCCCAGCAGTAACCAGGTAGGGCGCGTCCGCCCCCGGCTCGTGCGCCCCGCCCGGGGCTGCCCCCTTGCCGGCGCGCGCGGCTGCCCCGGCGGTGCCCCCTCTTGTCCCCGCAGGAGCTGCTCCTGAAGCGGGCTGCGGACGTGGCCGAGGCTCTGTACAGCGCCCCCCGCGCGCCCGCGCCGCTCGGCTCCCTGGCCCCGAGCCACCCGCACCCCGCCGTGGTGGGCATCAACGCCTTCAGCAGCCCGCTGGCCATCGCCGTCGGGGACGCCACGCCGGGCCCGGAGCCGGGTGCGTTGCCCCCGCCCCTCGCGCTCCCGCAGGTCCCCGCGGCGCAACGGCCCCTGGAGGTCCCCGCGGCGCTGCGCCCCTGACCGCCGCTTTCCCTTAGGCTACGCGCGCAGCTGCAGCAGCGCGTCGCCCCGCGGGTTCGCGCCCAGCCCCGGGTCGCAGCAGAGCAGCTACGGCAGCGGCCTCGGCGCCGGCCTCGGCGGTTACGGGGCGCCAGGCGTGGCCGGCCTCGGCGTGCCCGGGTCTCCGAGCTTCCTCAATGGCTCCACGGCCACCTCGCCCTTCGCCAGTGAGTGTCCCCTGCCCGCGGTGGGAGAGCTGGGGCCCGGGGGAGCAGAATGGGGCTCCGCCCGCCCCCCCCCCAGCCCCTAGGGGAGGAGCCTCCGGCGGCCGGCCCGGGAGCACGAGCCCCTCCGCGCTGCGTGCCCGCCCCCCAGCCCCGGGCCGAGCAGCTCTTGCACCTTTAGCTCTTTGCAGACCCCAGTTGCGCACGTCACGTCTAGCCCTCCCCTCTTTCCGAAACCTCTTGAATTAGGGGGCCGCCGGCTGAAACCTGGCGGCACCTCCTTTCCAGCCCATGCCAGGTTTTCGGGCGGTGCTTGGCGCCCCCTGCCGGAAGCCTGAGGAATCTCGGGGCTCGAGAAAAGTGGGCTTCCCCCTGGCCCGACGGGCGGCCGAGCCAGAGGCGGCAGGTGGTGGCTCCCTGATATCTGGGGCCAGAGCCAGAGAATTCCGTGTCGTTAAACAGCTGGATTCGGAGCTTGAGTGTCCCCATCAAGAGCTGTCTCACGTTCAGCAAGTTACTTTAGGTGTCAGAGTTTCAGTTTTGCCTGTAAAATGGGATCCGTGCCACCCTCTTGCCTGGAATTGTCCTCAGATCTGAATGTGGTGCTGTGCTTAGGGGACCAGGCAAGTCAGAAGAGTGTGTGATTTCACAGCCCCAGCTCTGGACACTGACTGTCCTCTGGCTTCCTGGAGGGGGGCAGCTGAGTGCTGCGTGGATGGGCCCCAGGCAGTTGTACTTTGGACGGTCTGCACTGCCTTAAAGTTCCTCCTTTCAACACCAAGTTTCAGAATAGCCTGTTTACAAGTCCTTTTAGCGTAGCTATTCAGCAGACATTTATAAAGCACCAACGTTGTGCAAAACACTACACAGCAGGCTTGGAGGATAACTCATCTCCAGGCCTGCCAGTTGTAAAACATTGCACCTCAGGTCTTGCCGAGGCTGCTGATGGGAGAAAGCTGCCCGAGAAGCTCCTGGTGGCTTTTCCTGCCACTCTGGTGCCTGTCCTTTGTCTTGTTTTCATTTTTGCTGAGGACTGAAATATGCTGTCCCCTGCCTGGCCTTCCTTGGCTGACCTGCACCCTGGGTATTGCTCTTTCTGGCTGTGGGTTGAGCCTGGCTCTCTCCTTCTGGCCTGGGCCCAACTTCTGGGACCCAAAGACCTATCTGCCAGTGTCCACAGGGGCCATGACCCTCTGTGGTGGGCCCAGCCCTTTGCTCGGGTCAGGTCCCACTGTTCCAGCTTCCCTTCAGCTCTGGAACAGCATGCTGACAGCCTCTCTCTGGATGCCCCCAGATTTGACACTGGTGGGGTCTTGGAATGCCAACTTCCCCCACCCCAACATACACACAGTACAGTCAGTAGGGGAGGAACACCCCACCCCCAACCACAAAAGTTCCTCTATCTGGGGTCCTCCATTCTACCAGAGGAGCAAGAACTCTCTTGCTGCTTAAACCCCACTCCCAGCATCAGCTTGGGACACCCTGGACCCACCTAGAGATCAGACTCGTGTCATGATATTTCTTGACCAGGCTCACAGGGTCCCCATCCACTCCTCACGCAGAGGACACTTGTGGCACAGCTCCAGGGGGTGTCATTCTCATTGCATTTGCCAGGACATGCCTGAAGTGATATCCAGAACTACCCCTACCCAGGGGGTCTGGGGTTGCCTATTTGGGCCTTGCCTCAGTCTTCCCCTTCAGCCACCAACAGCCCGGCCTGACCCACTATGCCCAGTGCTGTTCAAGTTACAAAATGTGGACCCTGGGTCTTGAGGTCAAGAGAGTACGTTCTCTGGCATTTGTCTCAGGCAGTGAGCATGTCCAAGGAGATGGCCATCCGTGGGACTGAGGACATCTGGAACAGGGGCAGCTGGTGAGGGCGTTCTTGCATCAAAGTGAGGAGGTGAGCAGGGGGAGGGGATAGCTCTGATGCCAAAGGAGCCTTCTCTGGCTATTGCTATCCCCCCACCCCTGCTCCAGTGCCAGCTGCTTAGACAACACCCAAAACATAGCCTATTGGTATTTAGAAGAGAGGCAGGGACTTGTGTTCAGATGAAGATGTTGAAAGATGCCGTCAGCAGGAAGGAGGGGCAGGCCAAGCCTGTATGTAAGGGGTCCCTGGCTATTCCCAGGACAGCAAGTCACAGCCTTGGGTGGCGAAGAGGCTGGAGAACAGGGAGATCTGAGGATGTGGATCCCTAAACCTCTCTTTGAAATCGACCAGCTAGAAGAGGGAACCTATTGTGGAGAATGTTAGGGTGCTGTGTGAGCTACAATCCTGGACAGAGAGGCCTTATGTCAGGAGTCTGTGTGCATCCCTGACCCTTGTCCCAGGCCTGCTATAAACCCTCATCTTTGATACTAATCTTGATGTCCTTGGGCCCACCAAACTTTCTTTGCCTCTCAGAACCCCAGCGTTTTCAACAGGAATCCCAGCCTGTTCCCTCTCTTGTCATCCCTAAACTGTAGAAGCATCTCCTAGTGTTTGATTTTGTTGGATAATCTGGTTCTACTTTCATTTTTACCTACGCTGGCCCTGTCAGCTCCAGCCCTGATAAAGAGTGTCTAGAACACCCTCTCCCAAAAAAGATGAGTGCCGGCCCAGGACCCTAGAGGCCTCCAGCCTGCCTGCAGACCTTGCTCTTTGTTAGTCTCCAAGACCCTCACAGCCCCGAGTGAGGTCTGAGCCTGGTGCCCAGGTCAGCAGCCCATGCATGGCCCCAACCAAGTTGCTCACTCTGGTGCTGTCTTCCTGTTGTGTCTCCCACCACCTCCCCTGCTACACCTGCCCCTCCCTGCCCCGCCCCGGAGTCATGCCCTCTAGCCCCCCGCTGGCCGCTGCCTCCTCCATGTCCCTCCCGGCCGCTGCCCCCACCACCAGCGTCTTCTCCTTCTCGCCTGTCAACATGATCTCCGCTGTCAAACAGAGGAGCGCCTTCGCCCCCGTGCTGCGCCCACCCAGCTCCCCACCCCAGGCCTGCCCCAGAGCCCACGGAGAGGGGCTTCCAGGTGAGTGACCGGTCCTGCCCCTCTGTGGCCTGGTGGAGAGTGGGGCTGGAGGGACCCACCTTCACCAGAGTTGGTTGACGGCTTCTCCCTGGAGGATGCAGAGCAGGATGCTCTGCTGGGATCTGAAGAGAGCCACCTGGGCCCACTTCCCTGCACATACAGCCTGGAGTGGTCGCCAGTCCGGATACTCTCATATGCCCTTTGGGGGAGGTCTGAAAACCACTGCACAGCCCCTCCCCACTCAGCTGAGCCCAGAGGAAAGACCCAACCCTGCAGGAACCCGGCAGGGCTGCGCTCCCCCCTATGTCCACCAGGGGGCAGCACACCCCGCTCTCACGGACCCGGTCCTCCCTGGGTGGAGGGGAACTCATGGCGGAGATGCTTTGCCCAGCCTCCCCCGGGACCCCCAGCCCACCCCATTTCACCGAGAACCGGAGACCACCTTCATTTTCTTCATGCCATTAGTGGACTGGCTGTGACTTGTCATTTATCACTGTCCTCCAAGTGGACATCCAGCTGGGCTCTAGCCAGCAATGTGTAGCGAGTCAAAAAATCAGATGCTGCTGCGAAGGCTTGTTAAGTGACGCTCTGGGGTGATGTGAAGGGACACAGTTATTTTGGGGTAATTTTAACCTAAGTGTGTCCAGAACTTAAAATGTGAGGCATGGGGAAGGTCGGGCCACCAGCAGAGAGGACCACGCGGGGAGGGCGGGGGTGGTGATGTGCGATGGAAGCAGGGAGTTCCTGGGAGACAGGAGAGGGTAACCGCCACTGTGGGGCCTCAGGGGTGTCAGGCCTCTTTTTCCTTTCTGCCTGGCACTTGGCCACCTCCCTCCAGGCCCTGAGAGGGCCCCTCTGAAGGTAGCAGGGCTGGGAAGAAGAGCCCAGCATCACCTCTCCCCACTGAGGGAGCTAGGGGAGCAAAGCCTTGTGGGTTCACTTCCTAAGAGGCCTGAGAGGCTTCTCCCCTAAGTATCAGCCATGCTGGCCTCAGGCAGGGCAAGGGCTGGTGACCACCTCAAGGCTCTCCACTGCTCGGCCCTCATAAGGTGCCGTAAGCATGCATGCTGTCCCCTGCCCATGGAGGGACCGGCAGGTGAGGTCCCCTGACAACACAGAGCTCCTGGCTCCTCTCCTTGCTTCACACAGACCAGCCTTTTGAGGATTCTGACAAGTTCCACTCTCCAGCCCGGGGGCTTCAGGGTCTGGCGTACTCCTAATGCCGGTAGGTTCCTGCTTGAATCCTGCCTCCTCCCCTGGCCCTTGATGGGCCCCAATGGCCTTTGCAGGGCTGGGTGGGCTCCAGGCTCCCTCTCCAGGGCCTTTGGGCCACATAGCCCACCCCAGTAGCCCAAGCTGAACAGTGGCAAGAAGTGGCTGCCTGCCCCCTGCAGCCAGCCGTGCTCCAGGACCTCTTCTCTTGTTCTCCCTACTAGGTCGGCAGGTGTGGCCCCCACTGAGCCAGGACTGGAGGTTCCTCTGGGATTCACATCCTTGCCTGGGATGGAGGCACAGACAGACGCAGGGCCAGGGCTGCAGGCAGACCTCAACCCATGGGCCTGAACAGGAGAGCCCCAGTTCAGGGACCGTCCCCATCCAGACCCCAGGCCCACGGGCTTCACACCTCCCTTTCTCGGGACTGGTCAGAAGCCCCAGCACTGTGCCGATGCTCTTGGCAGGATAGCGTCCAGGGAGGTGCTCGATGCCCGGCCTCACTCACTAGGTCAGTTCTTCTGGACGAGATGGATCTTGTGTAGTCCTAGGGCATCGGGGGACAGGCGTGTGGGATGAGGACTGGGGAAAAGGACAGCTCAGGGAGCGGTGGCCTGGGAAGGTCCTGTTTGCATCTGACCCATCTCAGCTGGCCCAGCGCCCACTTCTCCCCAGGGCAAGGGTGCTGCCTGCGGCCTCAGGAGGCCTGCCTAGGCTCCCGTGGAGCTCCCAGCAACCCCCCCCCACCCCCGGCCCTTTGAGGCCTGAGCACTCTCGCTTGCCACATCATCAATCCCAGTGAAGCTCTGAGCATGGAGGGTGCAGAAGAGGGGGTGCCAGGTCCGCTGAATTGTGGGTTTGCCCCCAGCGGATGTCTCTGGATGCTGCCTGCCATGCACTGACTCTGGCTGGCCGTGTAAAACCATGGACGGGGCTCGGCTGCCCCTGGCCTCACGGTCTGCTCTGCTGAGTTTGGAGAGAACAGAACAATAAACACAGCTGCAGGTGGCCGCCAGGCCTTTCTTGCCTGCTTCCTTGGCGTGGGTCTGCTTTTCTCAGCGTTTCTGCTGCTCCCCTGGGTACCCCCCACACCATGCCCCCAGACAGCCTCCCAGCAGCTTGGGCTTTTCATATGCCCCACAGTTCAACAAGCAAGTGTTCCCTGCCCCTTGTCTGTTCTCTGGCATAGTGGGGGTGCAAGCTACCAGGCCCAAGGACCCAAGACCAGACTCAACCCCCAGACTGGGCTGGGTGCACAGTCTGACCACTGGGGACTCAATCCCCCAACTGTCTGCCCAGAACCGAGGCGGGGGTTGTCAGAAGGACATTACTGGCAACTGGAATTGAGCTAACAATACCCTCCAGATGTGCAGAGTTTCAAAAGTGAGATTCTTCCTGACCGGGGCCTGCAGGCCTCACTTGGGCTGGGTGGGGCAGCTTTGGCACGAAGGGCTGACTACAGAGCCACATCTCATCTCAGCGCCCCTTCTTCCTCCCAGGCCTAGGCACCTTCCATCTCAGAGTTTGGGAGCAGGAATGGCAAAGCAAGGTTCCCAGGCTTATTAACCCTCCCCGCAAGAATGAAGCGCAATTTCCCCTGAAATGTGTCCCTTAGACCCCAAAGGTCTAAGTTTGACCTGGAAGTCACTGTTATACCCATTGTCCCGGGAGCCGGTGTCCAAGCCCACACCTCATGCAGTGCTTCCTCCAGCTTCTGGGAGCCCTGTCCTTCCCGTTCCCTGTGCCCTTGCCCTGCAGCCCCCTGCCCGATAGACTAACTGTGGCAGATGGGCTGGGGCCTGGGTTCTTGGCTCGTACCTGAGATTCCGCGCCCTCCCCACAACTGACATAGCGGTTCCCGCTGTGAGCTCCCCACCCCCGGCCAGGCGAGCACCTGCAGGCCTCCAATCCAGACTGGACAAGGGGCTGGCTGGGCTCACCCTGGTTCCCGGGATGGTCAGGTGTTCCTGCCGGACAGAGACGAGCCATCTGTCCTCGGCCTCCACAACAGTGCGCTCGCGCCGCCATGTGTGTCCACACCACCCACAGCGGGCAGAGCCAGCCGCTTATGAGGTACGCTGTGGACAGAGTGGGGTCCTCCCCAAATCCAGACACTGAACCCGAACCCCACCTCCCACATGGCTGTCTTTGAAGATAGGGCCTTTCAGGAGGTGCTTCAGGTCAAGTAAGGCCATAAGAGTGGGGTCCTAATCTGACAGAACCGGGTCCCTGTACAGAGAGGAGCAGGCTCCAGAGGGGGTCCCCTAGCAGGATGGTGGCCCCCTACAAGCTGGGGAGAGGGTTCTCACCAGGAACCAGGGCAGCTGGCGCCTTGATCGGGGACCTCTTGCTTTTACAGAACCATGAGAAATAAATTTCTGTTGTTTAAAGCCCCCCCCACCCAAGTCTGCAGTGTTTTTTTATGGCAGCCCAGGCTGACTCACACTGTTCTTTCCCATATGTCTTAGTGTTGGTTCCCCCAGAAACTGCACCTGAGACAAGTTTCCTGCTGGAGGACTCTGGCAGACAGAGTAGAACACACCTCAGGGTTTCCCACACAAGGGGCAGAGGACCTGCCGCCCTCAGGCCCTTAAGGCTGCTCCCAGGAGGCTCGCCCTCTGGCCCTCTCCCCAAGCCCTCCAGCTGCAGGGCAAGGCCACCAGTAAGGCCTTTATTGTTAGGCTTTTGTTGTCACATTGTATAAACAAAGCCCTGCAGGGGATCTGGGCAAGGCACCAACAGCTTCCCTGTCACAGAACCACCAGGATCACAGAAACATTCTCAACAGAACCCCTGATCGGGGCTGCACTCAGATGAGAATTGTCGACGAAAGCTGGCATCACATCAGCCTTTTTGTAGCCAATAAATCAGTGAGAATGAGTCAAACTGGACTGTGAGTCATGGGTCAGCAAAAGACAAGCCTGCAGGCAATCCTGGGTCTGGGTCTGGTTGCCAACTAAGCAACTAGGGAATTTTCTGGCCTTCACAGACTGGATTCCTCCCTGGACTTCCCACATTTTTAAATCACAGTTACTCCATTCTCAATAGTTCAGCCATCCTGAGTGTGAGCGTGATGTTAGTGGGGAGGCAGAAGCAATCTTGATCTCACCCAAATCTGTGTATGGAAACCCCACTGCCAATAAATGCTGTCCCGTAACTGCGTCTTATCTTCGCGACTGCCCTGAGGCCTCGGGCACGAGACAGACTTGGTCGATTCATTGGAACTGACCCCTCCAGCTGGGCATCCCGCACCAGTGATGGAAATCCTAATCTTGTCCCATGCCTTGTTCAGGGTGGCATTATTCACCTAGAATGGAGGTTGTCTTAGAATCGACTCTCCTGGGAGTAGAACCTGAGACAAGGATCTGGGTTCGGATGGTTTATCTGGGAGGAAAGCTCAGAAAACACGGGCGAGGGAGGAAGGAAGAGAGTCAGGGAAGGGAAGAAAGTCTGACGCTGTGTTAATGAACAAGTTACCATGTGGGTTTTCTAGAGCTTAATCCCACCAGGAAACTCCGGAGAACCAGGTGAAAAACACGTGAGTTTCCACCTGTGCGGGAGGGAGGCTGAGTACAGATACCCCAGCCTCCTCAGTGGGAGGGCGTGGAATTCTGAGCATGGGAGGAAAGCTCTGCTTCCTGGTGCTCCAGTCAGCCCCAAGTTTGGCACACCAAGGAGCTAGAGAAGGCTCTCAGGTGAAGAGATGTAGGTGCTGGCAGATGGACTATGAGAGGTGAGCCCTGAAGAGGTCAAGATGGAGGGTCTAGGTGGGCACAGCAGTGTCTGCCCTGGAGATAGTCCCTGCCTGTCACGCTGGGAAGAGGAAGTTGGCTTTTCCTAATTGAATTAAGTTTAGAGTGAGCATGAATTTCCCTTTACCTGCAGGGCCCACCTCTTCTGGGACCAGGTGACAGATCTATCCAGGCCGTTTCTACTAGGGGTGCCAAGATGCAAGAGGACCAGGGGACCCTTATCAGCATCAGCCCATCCTCCAGGCTTTCCACAGGGTGAACAAGCCAGGCGTGGGGGCAGGAGGGAAGTCAGAGATTTAGCCACTTGCCCTGCAGGGAGCGCATCTCCGGGAAGTCCTCTGGTCTCTCCTCACAAGTTCCCAGCAGAGGCGGACGGCTGTGTTGTGCATCCTGCCCGGTGGCTGGCAGACTCTGGGGCTGCATTTGGCTCAGACAGAGCAGCCGCACAGATGGTCCTACTGCTGACTCGTCTCCAAAACATCCCCTTTTCCCCAGCCCCACCCATATTGGTGGAGCCCTTGGCTTCTTTGGAAAAGAAAAATTCCCCAGAATGGACCCTGCCATGCAGTGGGGAAAGCACAGTCTTTTCCATCCGTGCCGTCGGGCCCATTGGACATCCATGCACGAAATTCAGCGTGGTCGCTCCCTCACACCACACATAAAAGTCAGTTCCAGGTAGACAGTGAAAGCTGAACAAAGCTGCATGGTCTTGAAGAGAAACTGCAAACCTTTTGCCAGAGTAACTGCCAGTATCTCTTTCCCTACTGCTTTATCAACCTTAAAATGAGGCAAACTTTGAACATGTTCGAGGTATTTCAGAAACCCCCGAATTTCTTTTCCTTAAGACAAATTTTCTAGCTAACAAAGAGTTCACAGACCCCAGTGACTCTCTCCCCTAGAAGGGACATGCTTTTTAGTTAGCCATTCTCTGAAACCCCTACTTTTCAATTACGGGGCCCCCCTCTCCCTCACCTCCTCACCTCTGTACTTACACCCTGGTGCTTCCTTCCTCTGCTGCTACCTCCCTGGCAGTAGCAATACCCATTGGGTGATGGAGGGAGTGAGCCACCTCTTTGAAGTCATCAGCTTTGAAGACCGGTGTTCATAGGAAGACCCCCCAACCTGAGGGGCCTGAGGGGCCACCTAAGGGTGGGGACATTGGCCATTCCTGTGCACTCAGATCTTCCTACCGCTCTCCCCTTCACTCATTATGAGATATTTAATGACTATAACTTTTTTTTTAAGATTTATTTTTTATTACGC